CGTGTGCTCTTCCGATCTTAATGAAGTATTAATTTTATAATAAATTTGTCCTTGTATTTTAAAACAATATGGTCCAGACCGCCTACCCTGAAAAGAAACTAAATTAGCATTAAATGATGCAAATGAAAATGAACTATTATAACTACGAATACGATTAAAGAAATTATTTGATTTAGCATGTTTCATATTAAATAAATTACGAAGAAATTCAGGAGGTTCAGGTAGTGATTCAAGGTTTATTGCACCATGATTACAGCAATCATTAAAAGAATTACCTTTATTTAAAACTTTTTCAGCAACAAAATGTTTGGCATTGCAGTGAATACAAGAAACGTCCATTGCACCGATATAACATTCAAATACATCATTGATATTATTTACGTGATTTAAACAAGGCTGTTTTTTTTTTCGTGACCGGTAACGAGATTGAATTTCTGCACGATTTCGGTTTAAAGGTTCAGCAATAGAAAATTTTAAATTATTAGTTATAGATTTTTGTGACGCAATTTGACGACGACGACGTTGATTTTTCGCTTTTCTTTCACGACGTTCAAGCTGAAATTCTTCTTCTTCTTCTAATGTACGTTTAACTTTACGTCTTGGCATTTTAATAGAATATATTTAGAATCAATATACGTGCAAAATAAATTATTTATGTAAGAAAGTCATCAAACATTAATTGTTTAAAACATTTCATTAATCATCATCATCAATATCATCAAAATAATCATCATTATCATTATCATCATTAGCATTTTCATAAAAAAAAAATATAAATATAAATATATATATATAATATTATTAGAATAAAATTAATTATAATTATAAACTATAACATTAATATTAATAATAACAAAAACACAAAAAATTTCAATATTATATAATATACAATTATGTACCTTTATTATTATTAATAGAATATTAAATATATATTTTTAAAATTTTTTGATTTTGTTAGATAAAAATGATATAAATATGCATTTAATATTATTAAAATATAATTATTTTTATAATATTAATGTAAATTATAAGAATATAATTATTAAGAGAAAGAAGATTATAATACATTTATAAAAAAAAATAAAAAAAAATAACTAAGGCTATATACAATTAAATGAAAAAGGAGAATAATTTATAACAAC